TTATTTTATTTATTTTATTTATTTTATTTATTTTATTTATTTTATTTATTTTATTTATTTCATTTATTTTATTTATTTTATTTATTTTATTTATTTTATTTATTTTATTTATTTTATTTATTTTATTTATTTTATTTATTTTATTTATTTTATTTATTTTATTTATTTTATTTATTTTATTTATTTTATTTATTTTATTTATTTTATTTATTTTATTTATTTTATTTATTTTATTTATTTTATTTATTTTATTTATTTTATTTATTTTATTTATTTTATTTATTTTATTTATTTTATTTATTTTATTTATTTTATTTATTTTATTTATTTTATTTATTTTATTTATTTTGTTTAGGTCAGGAGATATTCCAATTACTTCAAAAAAGCACCAACAATTTAAGAAAAGTCTAGGCTTTCGGTGAAGTGTAAAGATCTTGAAGAATTAGTCATTATGTTTCGGCTATTCAGTCTTCAAGAAAAAGTGATAACTACAGTTTTACCATCGTCGACATTTTGGTTCATGGGTTGGGATCTTCATCAGGGCTAGTTAGTTATTTTTATTTATTAGAGACACAATAAACAATTTGACCTGTTAGTTAGTTTTATTTATTACAAACCCATCATACAATTTGAGCTGGTTAAATGCTGCATAAGCTATTTTTTTGTTTAGGAAGCAAATTTTTACCTGAATAAGCTTTTATTAAACTTTCAAGGTGTGTAGGGGAGACTTCCAGCCTTTGGTTGTGGGACAAGTGGACAAAAGACAAAACGTGGAATCATAAAAGGTCGAATGATGAGAAGGAGGACAAAAGGTCGAATGGACAAACGGTTGAATGATTCAAAATAAGACAAAAGGTGGAATTGACAAAAGGTGCAATACTATGAAAAAAGTTCATCAAAAAGTGTTTATTACGGTTTCATCATCACCATCAACGTTTCGGTTCAGCGGTTGGGATCTTCATCAGGGTTAGTTAGTTATTTTTATTTATTAGATACCCAACAAACAGTTTGAGCTAGTTAGTTACTTGCATCGTGCATCATCGTTTTGGAGGAAATCTTCAGAATCGTCATTCATATTTTTCTATTTACTCAGCGTGCGCACAGCTAAAAACAGCAAAACAAAAAAAAAATCCTGCCTCGTTCGCCCCCTTCCGAATTCTCAAAATGTCAGATGGATAAAAGGTCGAACGGACAAAATTTCGAATATGCAAAAGGTCGAATGGTTCAAAGAGGGACAAAAGGTCGAATGCACAAAGAGTTTAATGGATAAAAGGTCGAATGATTCAAAGAGGGTCAAAAGGTGGAATGGACAAATGGTGGAACGGACAAATGGTGGAACGGACAAATGGTCGAATAGTTTAAAGAGGAACGTATGTCGAATGGACAAAAGGTCGAATGGACAAACGGTCGAATGGTTCAAAGTTGTTCAGAAAGTCGAATGGTCTAAAGAGGTCAACTGGCCCCTAGGAGGTACAAAAAGTCGAATGGTGACAAAAGGTGGAATGATCCAATAAGCTACAAAAGGTCGAATGGACAAAAGTTCGAATAATAAGAAGGTTGAATGGACAAATGCTGGAATGGTCCAAAGAGGGACAAAAGATCAAATGAACAATAGGGCTAGTTTTAGTTTCAGATCATAATGATTGTTGTGCTGAACGAAAGATTGTTCAGCTTTCCCCTAAAGAAGGTCATTAAACTGAAAACAAACATACATTTAAACCGTACCCTAGTAGTCAATAGAGAGATCCTAGCTTCGATATCGGCTTATCAGTTGACCTCTTCCCCAATAATAAGAGAGAACTAAATTGTGTGTACATTCCGAACATATGACAAATCAGTGAGTAACCAGCTCCAAACTTACCTTGACAGCCCTGTGAAGAGAATGGCCTGAGGGTATTAAATGATTTGTTCACTGGAATTGGGCTCGTGGGGCCAGTCTTGATGCTTTTAAAGCATAGAAAGTCTAGAAGAGTCGGACATTTTTGGACCCAAACACCTTGAACTTTTGGATTCTACTGACTGTTCCATCTGAGTGATATTGAATCAATTCAAACGATGCAATATTATATACGATCCCAATCCGTCGCTGCGTGGCCAGGTCTTCCATCAAAGCAATAATCCACGAGCTGTTCCGAGTCCTGCCGAGCAATAAATTATTATTCCGGCACGGTTCCGATTTCGATTCCCCGGCACCGCACGTACAATCAACCGCCAACCGATACTCGTGTACGGGACACAGAAATTGGACCAGTTTGTGATCAAGAGTCGTGAATCTTCGCGCCGCGGTCATGCACGCGCGTAGGTGAAGCGAAGCGAATCACGGAGAAAAGGTCCGTCGTCCCGGAATATAGGGAGAAATATATAGGTAAGGTACTTAAAGGCCGACTGGAACCAGACCAAAGATTTGCGGAGGAGTTGGTGCGAAGAAATTTATAAATAATGAAGTGTTTTATTAAACGCTGTGTGTCTGTGGCAGGCAGTTTCCCGATCCGTAGTTGGTCGTGTTGGTCGGGACTGCGATGTGGAAGTGGTACCAGTTTAAACGTATAGAACAAGCTACATGCAACCATTTTAGGCAGGGTAGGGCATGTGCAGTGCATCTTCTCTTGAGTAGAGGGGTTTACGTCCGCTCTAATTAAATTAATCATCATTTGCCTGCTCCGATGCGCACCAAGGAACGTCGTTGCATCTTGGTGGCATTCAGGTGATTAGGAACTAGTCCAGAACTGTGGAGGGAGTAATTTATTGTTTGAGCGAGAAATTGAAGCAAGATGGGGTTGTCTTCCTTAGGTGCTTATAATTCAATGTCTGGGAAAAATTGAAGTTAGAAGCATGCTTGTTGTGCTATTGCGGATTACGTGAAAGCTAATGTATAACCATTATCGAATGCAACAACACAAGGAAAAGTTCATGCACTCATAGTTTTATTAAACTCAGATTGCAACAAAATGAACTCGTAACTGATAAATCTAATAGGTGATATCAAGTAACGGATTGTAGAAACACTGTTCTCCCAAGCATGCGACAGGTGTTTCCGACCCAATCTGCTCGAGAGGGAATACCATCTCACAATTAACCTCAACACTTGCCATGTGATATGTTTATCTTCGACTGTTTAGCGCGTATTTTAGTACAATATTTATTCCCGGCCATAAATAAAAACCTGAAGTGCACAGATACCTACCTACGACGATGGAGGCGGTGCTGGCTGGCTTAAACACCTGCTCTCGCTTGGACCCAAACACAGAGCGACGACCCACCGAACCAGACCTGCAGAAAGCCAACGGGAGAAGGCCGAGGAGAAACCACAGCAGACCCATGCCATGCCCGGTGTACGCCATCAATATTTCAACACTAATAGAAATGTAACATTTCCCAATTACCACTCGCAGCTTGATAAATCACCCCTGGGCGATGATAAATGTGCGCCACTTTGTAAGACTAAACACATCTTTTCGATTAGAGCCCAACACTGGGGTAACCGACGACGACGACGACGACGATGACCAGCTAGCCGCGGTCAACATCCTCTCCCTCCGTTGCTGTTGGTCATTTGAAATTTCAGACAGAGCAGCTCGGCATTTGCATATCACACAATATGGCTATGTTGGTTGGCTTTTAAGATGACGATCTTGGCCGGGTGTTCTCCGGTGCTGATTGAGGCCACATCTAAGAGTGCCACCGATCGGTTCTCTTTATCTTAATTAATAACAAAAGGTCTTAACAGCAGCAGCATCGGCGGACGCCCCATTTAGCACTTTATTCCAGTTCAAAATGCCCCCTACCTTTTCGGTTGTCGGTCTACCCACTGGCAAGGATCTGCGCTCGAGTTATCTCAATGGCATTAATCTTGACAGCCGCGCGCTCGAGGGATTTGCCAACGAAATTTGAATGCGCAGCCGGCTTCTAGTCTGCCGGGAACTTCCCTTTCGGTGTCAGTGTTGCCAGATTAAACCTAAATCGCTGCTCATAACTTTTAAACGAACTCCCCAAACCATGGCACCCCGTCCAACAGTTTGATTAATCTGGCCGAATTAATGACTACGTGCGAGGTTCGATCGGCCTCTGCCATATAATTTCTGCCAATGGCTTCTCGAGAAAGAGAGGTCATTTTCCGCGTTTATCCTCCTCAATATTATTCATCTGCCAGACCAAAAATCAAATTCACCACCAAGACATCAATCCGTAGCAATATAGGCGGGAAGGCTTTCAGCTTAATTATGATATTGAAATCGACTTCTCCTCACTCGCTCGAGTTGGCTGAAGCCGTCCAGCAGCGAACCACCTTCGCCCAGCCCGCCCAGGTTTCGGTTTAAGTGGTTCGATTATAGGCTATCGATCGGAATTCACCCGTCCTGCCAGTTCGGCCTCTTCCGCCACCGCCATCGCGCTCTTTAATACGGTGATTATACAATTTTAGGGCCCGCGATATTGATTTAGTGCGATTAGCTCACCTCACTTTCCGCCAAGTCAGGCTAGGACTGTGTTGATGTGCCCGATGGGCGTCCGATGGGTGCTAATTTCCGACCCTATGCCCGCGGTACACGGTTGGGTTCAATGGTTCGATACCGATGATTACCGATGGCGCTAAGTACACGCTTTTACACCGATACAGTTACGTAAGATTGTGGCTTGGTGATGGCATAGTTTGGACGTGTCAAACGCTTAGTGGTAGTATGCAGTCTAACTTCATCCGATGTCAAGTAAATTACGAACTATCAAAGCTTGTCATTTAAGCCAATTAACGTATCTCGTCAACGTAATTGGTGGGAAACTTTCTTGCAAGAGGCGTACAATATTGCCAAGAGGCATACAATATTGCCAAGAGGCATACAATATTCCATGTCCGTTCCATGTCCATTTCCCGTCCATTCCCCGTCCATTCTCCGTCCATTCCCCGTGCATTCCCCGTCCATTCCCCGTCCATTCCCCGTCCATTCCCCGTCCATTCCCCGTCCATTCCCTGTCCATTCCCCGTCCATTCCCCGTCCATTCCATGTTCATTCCATGTCCATTTCCATGTCCATTTCCATGTCCATTTCCATGTCCATTTCCATGTCCATTTCCATGTCCATTTCCATGTCCATTGCCATGTCCATTTCCATGTCCATTTCCATGTCCATTTCCATGTCCATTTTCATGTCCATTTTCATGTCCATTTCCATGTCCATTTCCATGTCCATTTCCATGTCCATTTCCATGTCCATTTCCATGTCCATTTCCATGTCCATTTCCATGTCCATTTCCATGTCCATTTCCATGTCCATTTCCATGTCCATTTCCATGTCCATTTCCATGTCCATTTCCATGTCCATTTCCATGTCCATTTCCATGTCCATTTCCATGTCCATTTCCATGTCCATTTCCATGTCCATTTCCATGTCCATTTCCATGTCCACTTCCATGTCCATTTCCATGTCCATTTCCATGTCCACTTCCATGTCCATTTCCATGTCCATTTCCATGTCCATTTCCATGTCCATTTCCATGTCCATTTCCATGTCCATTTCCATGTACATTTCCATGTCCATTTCCATGTCCATTTCCATGTCCATTTCCATGTCCATTGCCATGTCCATTGCTATGTCCATTGCCATGTCCATTTTCATGTCCATTTCCATGTCCATTTCCATGTCCATTGCCATGTCCATTTTCATGTCCATTTCCATGTCCATTTCCATGTCCATTTCCATGTCCATTTCCATGTCCATTTCCATGACCATTTCCATGTTCATTTCCATGTCCATTGCCATGTCCATTGCCATGTCCATTTTCATGTCCATTTCCATGTCCATTTCCATGTCCATTGCCATGTCCATTTTCATGTCCATTTCCATGTCCATTTCCATGTCCATTTCCATGTCCATTTCCATGTCCATTTCCATGTCCATTTCCATGTCCATTTCCATGTCCATTTGCATGTCCATTTCCATGTCCATTTCCATGTCCATTTCCATGTCCATTTCCATGTCCATTTCCATGTCCATTTCCATGTTCATTTCCATGTCCATTTCCATGTCCATTTCTATGTCCATTTCCATGTCCATTTCCATGTCCATTTCCATGTCCATTTAAATTTTCATTCTGATTTCCAATTAGGTTTTGAATCTAATTTACATTCTGATTTCGGTTGTAAGACAAAAAGTCGAAGAACATAAGGTCGAAGAACAAAAGATTGCAGGATAAAAGGTCGAAGGGACAAAAGGTCGAATGGACAAAAGGTTTAATCGAAATTAGAAGAACAAAAGGTCGAAATGGACAAAATGTCGAAGGGACAAAACTTCGATGGGACAAAAGTTCGAATTGAACTTAGATGTACAAAAGGTTGAAATGAACAAAAAGTCGAAATGAACAAAAGGTCGAAAGGACAAAAGGTCGAATGGACAAAAGGTTAATTGAACTTAGAAGAACAAAAGGTCAAATGAACAAAAGGTTGAAATGAACAAAATGTCGAAGGGACAAAAGTTCGATGGGACAAAAGGTCGAATTGAACTTAGATGCACTAAAGGTTTAAATGAACAAAAGATCGAAATGAACAAAAGGTCGAAATGGACAAAAGTTCGAATGAACAATAGGATCAATGGACAAAAGGATGAATGGCCAAAAGGTTGAAACTTTTTTCCATTTCGACCTTTTGTCAAGGTCGCTTCAAAATTTATGGTTTTTTCGTTATTTTGCCTGGAACTGCTTTTTTGTCATATATTTGAATGGACTTTTCCATTCCCATTTCCATTTCCATTCCCATTTCCATTCCCATTTCCATTCCCATTTCCATTCCCATTTCCATTCCCATTTCCATTCCCATTTCCATTCCCATTTCCATTCCCATTTCCATTCCCATTTCCATTCCCATTTCCATTCCCATTTCCATTCCCATTTCCATTCCCATTTCCATTCCCATTTCCATTCCCATTTCCATTCCCATTTCCATTCCCATTTCCATTCCCATTTCCATTCCCATTTCCATTCCCATTTCCATTCCCATTTCCATTCCCATTTCCATTCCCATTTCCATTCCCATTTCCATTCCCATTTCCATTCCCATTTCCATTCCCATTTCCATTCCCATTTCCATTCCCATTTCGATTCCCATTTCTTTAGAACTAGACTGAAGCCTTTCAAAGGTATATCAAAGATTAAAACGCTAGGCAAATTCCAGAATCAGTTCAGGTGACTTCATCGATGAGCAGGACCGTACTCAGTAGGTGGCGAAGGTACCATTTGCCCCAAATAAAAATTACTGTAATGTTACTTGAACATCGAATTTCTGCCCATTCAATCTTCTGCCCATTTTACCTTCTGCCCATTTGACCTTCTGACCCTTCGACCTATTATTCATTTCGACCTTCTGCCCATTCGACCTTCTGCCCATTCTACCTTTTGCCCATTCAACCTTCTGCCCATTCAACCTTCTGTTCATTCAACCTGTTATCCATTTCGACCTTTTCTCCATTTGATATTTTGTTCGTTTAACCATTTCTCTCTCGTATAGACCTTTTCTTCATTCGATTTGTCTTTCGCCTTTTTGTTTATTTAAAGAACTCGGAATTCAGAAGGCACGGAGCAGTGCTGCAAAACGTTGACCCTACACGGCGATATTGACAATACAAACGATATTGAGTTGCGACCAACGCTCATTCTAGCTAAAAGTCATCTTCAAGGGAAACGATGTCAATTGTCAGTGACAATCCTGTCAGTGACAAACTTGTGCAGTATTTTTTTTATTAGCTAAATTTGTATCGACAGTAAATGAAGTATGCAACACAATTCCATGAACCCTTTAAAGTTAACAACCCAAGTAACATTGCTAGTTTTATGGAGGTTTTAAAGCATACTACAAGTCTAAATCATGGTCTACAGAACCTTTATAAAACCAAAATTGTTACTTGGGAAGCATCTGGCTGGATAACAATAATGTGACGCAAAATGCACGAAGTTACAATTTGACGAAAAAATTAATGAGATTTGGACGAAGGTTGTTTCGAGAATCAATTCTTCCAGCGCCGATGTCAATTTTTTTTTATCAATATCGAGAGAAATCTTTCAATGACAATGAAAAATCTCATCACTGGCACGGATATCTTCGGAAAGCTCACGATCCAGTATTCGAAGTAATATGCTGAGAGCTTCTGAGGTCTATTTAGTGAACTTCAAGGAACAGTCCAGAGAAGTTCATGCTCCAGGTAAGAGAACCCGAAGACTCAATTTTCAAATCGAATGAATACCCAGGCTCCGCCCTGAGATCTTTGAAGGCAAGTCTAGAAGATTTCATCGATTAGCTCAGAGGTTGTCAAGGACTTGTCGGGACAACTTAAAGGTTTTGCCTTTGCTCAAGTTTGGAAGACTAAAATGGTAAAACCAGGGAGCTAGTTTCTCACACCAATATGAGATCTTGGAACACACTTTGAAGCATTCCAAATCTCATCGAAAATGTCCCAGGAAACGCAATCACACTAATGACGCAACAGGAATCTAACTTGCACATCTCAAACGAGCAACTTATAATGAGTGTTAATTTGGTCCTCACATTTTTGGAAGGCCAACAATTTTGCTACCGAGCGAGCATGTAATTGGTCGGAAACCCTTCTTGGTGGCGATGGTATGCTCCAGTTAATTGAACCATTTTTTTTTCGGGTTGCTTTCCATCGTCGGACGAGGATTCGGAAATCATGCAACACACGCCGGCGGCAGTAAGCGTGTTTCGTCGTTCTTCTCTAATGATAGGAATGACATTGTCGTCGTCGTCATCCTCGTCATGATCATCTGGTCCATCGCTGCTGCGGTAGATTTAATGAGTTTAATGGGTTTCGGAAAAGGAATGGAGTTGAACGACGTTGGCAATGGTCGCAAATGGTACCTTTGCGTCGCAACTGGAGGACGACCCTATTGTGTTTGATGGGACAAACATGCTGCGTTCAAATAAGACAAGTGTTGCAGTGACATTGACCTTTTTTTGGAGCTTGCAAAGTCTGAGAAAAGGCACTTATTTGCATTTGCAAGATGTCGTGGTGCAACATATGGTTGATTTCAAAAGCAGTGCACCGACAGGATTTGGGTTTTTGTTTGATTGCCTCGATACCCACAGGGATGCCGTTTTCAATTGAATTGTAAATAAATGCAGCTGTGTTCAATTGCATAATAATGCCGCAAATATTTGATCTGGTTTCCATTCACAGGAGGATTGAAACTGTCATAAAATGTGCATTACCTATCTTCCGTGCCCAGAATACAGATTCAATTGAATGGAATTAAAAATTTAATCATATGAATTATAAATTCCCTTTTTTCCCGGAACCTCATTGTGCGCCGCACAACCAACACGCATCGAGCTGAGTATTTTTCCTCTTCAATATCAATACTCGCACTCCCCGTGCAGTAGTTCATTTGCACTGAATATAACTGAAAAAAAAAATGGATCCAATTCTCCGCATCGCACCGTGTTCATCTGTTGGAAACTGTTTTATTCCTTTTTTTTTATTCTGTTCGACTATTTTTTCTCCCCAATGACAGCCGCCAGCAATTCACAAGGGTGTCCCGCAGAGACCGACCGACAATGCGAAACCGTATTTTCGGAACTGTATCAATGTGACATAAATGTTTAATTCGCCATTAAAATATCCTTTGAGTGCCGCTGTTGTTGCACGGGATGCAGCCATTCAGGAGGGAAGGGTGTCTTTGTGTGCGTGTGTTTGTGGGTGACAGGCCGATGTTTTTTGGGGTTCACTTTTTTTTCAGTCGGTGTGGGGTAATTTAAGTGGTCACCACCATCGCTATTTCTGTGTCTGACGGTGTGAATTGTTTCGAGTTGTCCGTTAATGACTATGGCTGCCGATACAAATGCTCACAAAAGTGAAAAGTTTTGCAATGAAATCCTTGAACCATTGACCTTTCAACTAAAAATAGGACAGCACTTCTACTGTTGATATTTTGAAAAATTAATACACTGAAAACGAATCCTACTCAGAAAGTGAGTTGGCTACTCATGCGCTGTGTGACCTACGCTTGTACAAATTTCTCCATATGAATGGGTAAAAATGACCCACAACTGAGTAAAAGTGATTCACTTTCTGAGTTAGTTTCGTTTTCAGTGAACATAATGGTTCAGGTCTTCGGTATAGTTGCTCAATAGAACAAAAGGAACTAACTCACTAGGTGCACAGCAAAAACAAAAATGTAATATCGATCCATGTAATTCAAGCTGATGTATGAAATAATGATGTAATACCAAAAAGCAGATACAATATTACATCAATGGATGTAATTTTGTTCGCAAAATCGATGTACATCGTACAACGTAATATTACACAACCGATGGATTGACCTGGTTGCAGCAGTTTGGATGTAATATTCAACAACTTTTTTTTCTGTGTGGTGCTAGTGCATTGAGAAAAAATCGTTTTGGAGATTTCCGCTGAACTGGGTTCTTAGGATCCTAGAGTAGGGAACTGGTTTCAAGCAGCACTCACCGGAATCTCTAGCTGAACTGGAAGCGACTATAACTTACATGAATTTACCTTGAAAACAGGAAATGATCCACGGAAAAGGCACGGTCTTACCAACCAGTGGAAACTAACGATTTTAAATTGGCTCACTACTTGACTAGCCTATTGATCCCAAGCAAATCGATTAGCACCATAGAGGTAACTCTAAGACTAGAAGGTCTCGGAGAAACGTGCTCAACTTTTTGGCTCAGCTCTGGTATTTTCATCGGTCCCAAGCTAATTGATGCACCCCTCGAAACATAGGAAAATCCACGAACCCCTCATTTTATCTGTCAAACTTTCATAGCGAATCAAAACAAACATATAGCGAATTCGTTTATTATTCAGTTCCAACCTGAATCGGGTATCAAGATTGTTTTCTGACAAACGTCAGTTTGTTCGTTTGTTTTTAAAACCTAGCTCAGGTTGGGGTTCGCACTGACAAAAAGTTCGGTTTCGCACTGGATTGGAACTGGTTCCAACCCCGATAATAAACGAATTCGCTAATAGTGTACATAAGAATTATAGGTCAAACATTGAAGTTATTTTCTTTTTACTTTTATTTGTAAACTAGTGTA